TAATTTTATATATATTATTGTATTATTGTATATTTAGAAAATTTGGAGCTGGGAAATTGCAGTGAAATATTCAAAGTATAAATGTCCTTCATAATTGATAGAATAATTTTTCACCTATTCTTTGAAAATTCCTATTTTTTTAAAAATGGAGTCCCATTTTTTAAAAACAGAGTCACAAAATTTTGTAAATATTCGTAATCTGTTAATTATGACGTATATCAATTTTTTATTAAATATATATTTACAATAAATATCTGGTATAATGTGAACTATGTTGTGTCTCATTACAGTGTTAATGAAATTTCAAAATATTTTGTATAACACATGATATTATGAACGTCCAAATACTTTCGTGTATATTTATACACACATTTATAAGTCAGAGAGCAACAGAACTTCCAAATTTGACATAGATTACAAATTTTATTAATATTCGGTTCTTTTGATATATTTCTATTAAGTTTTTCTATCGAGTCAAGTAATAAATTTCAACGAACTATTTTTTTCTCCCAAAATAACGATCATAACGAGATGTAATATGTATAAAATTGTAATGATCACTCTTTCTAAAGCGATCACTCTAGTCAAGCGAATTATTTAGAACCGTGATTTCTATTATACAATGGGAATTTATTGATTCGTTGTGCTGTCTGATATTTCTCGTTCAAAAACAGCAAGAGTCCATATTCAAATAAGTGGATCGAATCAGTCGGATTTCGGTTAATCGGCCAATTGAAGTTTCATTTTAATAATTGAAATTCGGATAAATGGAGTTCTGTTATGGCATATATGTGGTTACCAATTGTCCAGAGTGCTGTTGATCAATCGCGGTCACACGATTTGTCTCACGCGGGGCTTCTTTTCACGCGATATAATAACGCCCTAATTATATTTTATTAAAAACGTTAATGGACATAAAAGTGTCGGTGAGATACAATTGATCGTAAATATCTACTCACGGATGTGTCTGTGATCGTCGTGAACTTCGGCGCACCGATTTGTCCATTTCTGTGCCATCGTAGCTAACTCATCGTCCCAGATCTGAAGGAAAAGAATTCTCTTGAGTTGAAGCTCAATAAGAAGTGCTCTCAAAGAGCCGATCCTTATGCAAATTTATATTTTTTTTTTTTTTTTTGTTATCTACGTAACACGATTAAAAACGTGATATAACTAAAGGGAGGATATTCATGCGAATTTACACTTTTGAGAATATAATTAAAAAATCTTCGATAGAGAATTGTTTTCTGTACTAAATGTTACAGAAAGCACTATACTCTGAGTATTTTGTGTATTGTCTATTTTTATATTGCAATTTCAAACACTTTCAAATTTCCTACAGACGCATAAAAATCCACGTTACCTACAGATGGTAATTTTTTTTTCTACGAAAGTGGCAAGATTGATTTTTAGTGGTATTTCTTACCATTTCCCTCATATTGGCAGCGCTGGGCTGTCCACTGACCTGGCCCAGAGCTATTAATTGTCTCAGGCGATTATGCTCGTCTAAGATTGTCTGTTTCTCCTCGCAGGATAATTCTGCTGATCCTACAAGCAAATCCTTAGGCAATCAAGCAAATCCACTGTTAGCCAGGGTTACCAATCTATCGTCACCAAAATGAAGTATTCCTGAGGGAGTTGTAACTAGTTACTAGATTAATTTCTAGGCGAAATAAAATCAAGCCCCAGTTTTAGTCTTGTTCGTGCAGGAAAGCAAAGTTAGGAAAATTTTTAAACATTCGTTTAACTGTTAACTAATATCATTAGACTAGTAAGAATTTATAGTTGTACTACTTAATTTTGGAATTTTTCAATTTCTATTATAAATACAAG